GAAGTTGTTCCCAACACTGACTACAGTTGTAAGCGCCAAAAGCATTTACCCGAAGTCGTACACGTCATGCGTATGAAACCGTATTTATCCAGTTGACGCGACCACTTCATACGCCTGGTAGAGTGCCTAAGTTGCGCATCGGGACGATGCCTCTTTCGGAGGGGGGCAAATGTCACGTGCTTGTCAAAAAGAAAGACAATGGCAGTTGTGCATGTGCCATGAAGTACAAGGAAATGGATGAAAAAAAAAAAGAACTCTCTTGCGCATTCTATTAAAAGAACCGACCTCTTCTGGTGTCTCAATCTCTGCGGCAAGACCTCTGTTTTGACGTCTTGACAATATCATCCACCAGACACCTGTGACAACTTGTCGCGAACGGTCAGGCGGGAACTTGAAGCGGCTGCTCCAGCTAAGGTGGGACCAACGTCCCCTGACCCCTCTCCTACAATTACGTTGCCTCTCATTCAAGCAGTCGTCCGGCAGGAAATCGCCAGCTTGGGAATTCACTTTATCTCACCGCACCCCCGCACCGACTACCAGCCCCAATACACGCCTGCACGTCCCTTCCCGACCCGCTCTCCCTCAACGTTTCGTAATCCGTCCGGATGGCGAACACACGATGACAAGCCGATCTGCTTCTCGTGTCACCGAATTGGGCACATTTCTCGCTATTGCAGAAGTCGCTGGGGTCCTCCTGCACAAACCTCCTCTCGTCCCATCTATGCACGTCCTGCCTATCGCCTTGAGACCAGCCTCGACCATTTTGCCTAGGCACCTGCTACTGAACACCGCTACTCCCGCTCTCCATCCCCCCAACGTCGCCAGTCTCGTTCTCCACAGCCCCGCCGACCGTCTTCGCTCGCCTTCCCACAAGGTTCCCCGATGGAAAACTAAGTGTTGCAGCCCCCGGAGGTGGCGCTGCATCGCTCGGACTGACCGAAAATCCTTTCTTGACAATACCGACAAAACGGAACCTTATAGACGTACAAGTAGACGGAGTACGTGTCACTGCTCTTGTCGACACCGGTGCTCAACTTTCCGTGATGACGAGTGATTTTCGTTGCAAGCTCAAGAAGGTTCTCACACCTGCGACCACTCAGTTCGTCCGTGTTGTGGATGGCGGAATAGTATCTATCGTTGGAATGTGCTCTGCTTGTGTGAGTATTGCGGATCGACACACAGTTGTTCTCTTCACCGTCCTTGATAAATGGTCCCATGACGTAACCTTAGGCCCCGACTTCCTGTCTGCTCATTCTGCCCTCATAGACTGTTCGACCAGCACGCTCAGTCTACACTTGTTCGCAACAGAACCTCTTGCACAACGGCCGAGTTGCCTCTGCACAACGGGACACGTGCCCCTCCCTCCACAGGCACATACATAGAGCTCGTCTCAATACCACCAGTTCTCGACGGTGACTATGTTCTGACCCCTATCACCGATGTCCTCAGAAACCGCGGCATTACATTACCGCACACCATTCTGTCTGTCGCAGAAAATTTTACGTGCCTCCCAGTTGTCAATTTTAGCTTGACACCTCAAGTTCTGCCACAAGGAATCTCTTTGCTGAATTCGGGAACAGCACAACCTACAAGTAGTTACTTCGTAACTACAGAAGCGAAAAAACAAGGACAGAAAAGAGCGCTGACTTTCAACAAAGATTTAATATTGGAGTGATGTACATATATAGGCGAAAAATGAGAAAAATGGGCATGCGTAGAAGGGTGCGGGAACAACAACTGCGATACACTGTCAGAAAAATCTCTTTGGCGTTGCTCTGCACCTTAGATGACAATGCGGTAGATGTTTTAGCGATGGCCGCTCCTTCTGACCCCAACGCTCAACACTTGCTCCAACAGCGCTATTACGTCGATGATCGCTTCCAACTTAACGCCGCAGCAGACTGATGAGATCTACCGAGTTCTGCTGTCCTACATTGACGTTTTTGACCTCAGCGGCCGTCCGTTGGGGAAAGCTACTGGTATGACCCACCGCATAAACACTGGTAATGAGCATCCTATTCATAGGCGTCGATATCGGGTGTCGGCGGCCGAGCGTCACATTATCCAAAGTGACGTCGACAAAATGCTCGCCAAAGACATCATTGAGCCATCCTGCAGTCGTTGGGCTTCTCCTGTAGTGTTAGTCCGCAAGAAAGACGGTGCATGGCGTTTCTGCGTGGATTATCGACACCTAAACAAAATTACCAAAAAAGACGTCTACCCTCTGCCTTGAATAGATGATGCGCTTGATTGCCTCTATGGGTCCTACTATTTTTCCTCCATAGACCTTCGTTCCGGCTACTGGCAGATAGAGGTAGATGAAATGGACCGTGAAAAGATGGCATTCATCACCCCTGATGGCCTATATCAGTTCAAGGTCATGCCCTTCGGCCTTTGTAATGCTCCAACCACCTTCGAACGAATGATGGACTCCCTGCTCAGAGGATTCAAATGGTCCACCTGTTCCTGCTACTTGGACGAAGTCATCGTCTTTTCACCAATATTTGAAACTCGCATAGAGCGCCTCTCAGCCATCTTAGGAATCTTCCGTTGCGCTGACCTGCAGCTCAACTCACTGAAATGTCACTTTAAACGCCATCAAATCACAGTACTTGACCATTTAGTAGACGCGAGCGGTGTGCAACCAGACCCGACTCGAGTAACAACCTTCTCCTCCAGTTCCGCTCGCTTTCAAAGATGGCCGTCGCTTCGAAATTTATTTTGTGATCCAACTTCTCAGCATGTTCGGTGACTGCGCTGCACTCTTTGTTGAAATTCTGCACATCATTGGCATGTTGCTTCAGTCATTCCAGTAGGTTTTCCGTCTCGCCGATATATGACGAGAGACACTCGGCACACGGAATTTCGCTAACGACACCGGGGCGCCTGTCCATCGTCGGCTGGTTTTTCGGGTTGGGGAAGAGGCGGCCCAGCGTACACGATCAACTGCTCTCTCGGAACCCTTCCCCCAGTGTATTCACACGGACAGCGCTCCACGGAAAAACGAGAGAGAGGGGGGGGTCGTTAGCCATCCCGCGAGTGCTTTGAAGATGACGCTGCTAGTAGCCTCCGCAGTCACCCCTGAGGAAGGAACAAAGTCGGTTCCAAAACGTCGGGTTTCTTGAAAACTTTTGGTTAGAGTCTAAATCATCTCCCAGGTCTCTGTCTCCATTATTTTGAATTAAGAAGCTCAGCCGATGCTTGCGCCATCCGTCCACAACGCCGTGGTACACAGCTGCACTTTCACCTACGATTTAATTTAAAGACACGCCTTGCCGTCTCTTGAAACGTTCAAGCCAGCCGTTGCTGCATGTAAGGTCTTCCTTGCCCATCACCTGCTTCCTGTTGCCTCATGCAGAAGACCTGCTACAGTCTCTTCAAGGTGCTAAATGGTTCTCAATGTTAGACCTTGCCTCGGCCTATCACCATGTAACACTAAACAAAGATAGTTGCGACTTGACGACCCTTATAATGCATGAAGGCCTTTTTCATTTTAAGCGAGTGAATTTTGGATTAGGCTCCAACTACTGCACCAAATTCTGTCGGACTGTTCTGGTGTCAAGTATTCCATTGACGACATCATCGTTTTCAGCAGCACTCAAAAGGAACATGATGACAATCTGGCAAAAGCTCTTACTCGAATTGCTTCTTCAAGGTTAAAGTTAAATGACAAGTGTGTCTTTGATGTCCAAGAACTGGCATTCACTGAACAGAAGATTTCCTCTCAGGGCATGTCTCCCCTTGAGAAGAAACTTCAACAGGCTGTGACTTTTCAACAGAGTGAGACGATAGCAAAAACACCCTATCAGATGCCAATGCATGTCATCCGTTACAACATATGCTTGACTACACTGCGTAGTCCCTGAACACCTACATAACAGCGCACAATACAGTGCCATGGTTCATGGTTCCCGTGTGCCATGATTCAGGAGCATGCCCTCCGATTTTGACGCTCAAAGTAGAGGAGAGCAACGAGGTAAGGCCTTTCCCTGCAGCCGCAGGGGCTGCGTGATTTGAAAAATTCGTTCACAAATTATTAAGCCAGCATTTACCGCAGCTTTTGTTCCCTTAAAATGAAGTGACAGCGCATTTCCCTGACGGGAGCACAACTTCACTGAGTTTTTCCAGACACTACAAAATCTCGGCGAATTCCTGGTTTTTTTGGTTGGTAGATTGATAAGACAGATGATTAGGCTAGTTGGTGATTGGGAATCAACATATTTGCACAGCGCAGGGCTGTGATGCAGTAGGTTGCACGATTGCGCGGTGATGTTCTGTCACGAGTATACTTTCAGCGTTTTCACTAATAAAATTTCGGTTGAAGTCGGCGCTCTTTCTTTCCTTGTCTCTTCTTCTGTAGCTACGTCGTAATTACTCGTAGTCTTGCGCTGTGCAAATATGTTGGTTGGTAGATGCCCTACGTGAGATGCTCAATCAAAATTCCACAAGTTTCTCTTTCCCTCATTGCATATATACACAATTTTTCATTGAACTAAAGCTAGTTGTAAGTCTGAGATTTTTTCGCTTGCCCAGTTTTCTTTATCATGCCTGCATGGCCAGTGCCTTCTAGGTGGATAAAAGTCAAATTTTGTGGGGGTGCTAAACTCCCTGTAAATTCGTTTGCACTTTTTTATGCACATATTTTGCGCATAGGCTGCAGTTATGGTTTACAACTATCGAGGGGTGCGGCGACCACGGGTCGCATCTCGTGTGTCCCTCACAGCGAGTCAAACATCGGCGTCGCCGCCTTCGCGTAACCTTGTTTGTTGTTATTTATATTGAGCGTATTTGCACTGCATGAGATTGTGTTTTAGCATGTTGATCACTAGTGATGTATTTTGATTCAGTTGACGATATCGTCGAGGCAAAAGTAGTTCAATAAATGTTTGATTTGGTCTGACTACATCTACTGCCTGCGTGCACTCCCAGAGCATGCTTCATTTCGAGACCCCACAACTCGTACCAAAAAAACTCCACGCAACCAAATTTTCAAAGGATACAGGCAATGGCTTCGATAGCTCCCCGCCGCTGAATGTCATCATCTGAAGCCCCTAGCTTGGCCAAGACTTTGTCAACGATGACTGCCATTGTTGGCTCTGTTCGAATGCGGGCCATCATGCCAAAGCAACGGGATACCAGGTGACGCACCACTGGAGAATTATGGTCCAGGGCAGCACACAGTGGTGGCAGTGTGGCTTCAAGCTGCACGAAAAAACAGATGGCAACTCTAGCAACAAAACTGCATATTTGCACTATTTTGAAAGCACATCATGAGCCTACTGTCATATATATTTGCACAGCGCAAGACTACGAGTAGTTACGACGTAACTACAGAAGAAAAGACAAAGACAGAAAGAGCGCTCTTTCTTTCTTTCAGCACTTTTTCTGTCCTTGTCTCTTCTTCTGTAGTTATATCATAACTACTTGTAGTCTTGCGCTGTTCAAATATGTTGAATCCCAATCACCAACTAGCCAAAGCATCTGTCTTATCAACCTACTGTCATAGTTGCATTTAGGAGAAATGCTAGTAAAAAAACACAAGTTTTTTTTTTTAGATGTCTTTTTTTGTTCTTCTCTCTTTCATAACCTCGTCTTGAAAGGGGTTGCACGAAAGTGCTGAAAGAAAAGCATAACCAAAAATAAGGCAAAGAACGGAAGACAAAGAAGGACTACATGAGCATTGTTTGCTCTCGGTTCCTCGCCTTGTTCTTCAATACGCTTTTCCTTCAGCACTTTTGTGCTTGCGCTTTCCTTCTATTTCAACATGCAGCTGTTCTTCCTATGTTTAGTTTCTCTACTTTAATGACAAAACAAATCAAGGTTGTAATTAAACTCACAGTAATTTGAAATCAATTTATAACACCACAATGTGGCTGTTGAAAACTAAGTAAAGCTCATTTTTTGAAGTCCCCTGGAAATTGTCACTTGGCTGCTTGCCATTTTATTTCGAATGAGGAGTTCACCAACGCCACATTCGTAAGATCATCATGGTTCCATAAATTTCATGATGGAAGAAATAATTTTATAGAGCATATCTTCGCCACATACATGAGCTTCATTGCAACGTTTCGGTTTCCTCAAGATGTAATGTTCAGCAACCTTCTTTATTTTATTTAGGAATACCGAAGGCTTTGAAAATGCCCAGGCAGGAAGGGAATGTACAAACAAGCAGTACAAAGTGTGCAGGTATAAAGAATAACATAGAAAAAGAAGCAACAACAAAGTAAATCTACCAGCAGGTAAACAAGCACTGAAAAATGTGGTACTAGGAAAAAGAATATATAGAATGAAAAGATCCATAATACTTACGTATTGTGGGGGAGCACGTGCACCCATCTACCCTTTCCTTTTTACGGCAGCCCACAGCATAGTTGTGGGACATGACTGTCCCTTCGAGACACGAGTCGATAGAGCCTCTTGGAAAGAATGGAACACCCCTGCGGCCGGCGCTTGCGATCGCCCTTTTTCGGCGCACAAAACGAGTATCTCCTTTCTCAGCGAAGGAACACAGTCTCTTCAAAGAAGGGAAAGCGGGACGGTGAAGAAAAGCAGCGTGTCGATAGCCGGATGCTTTCTCTGGCACCGGTGACAAAAGAAGAAGGTCGAACCCAAAACCCCTTGCGAGCCAAGGACGACAACGACCGATGTGTAAGTGTCAACACTTTTGTCATCTGAAGTCTCTACGCTACATTTATGCGCTATTGCTAATATATAGCAATAAAGTGTTGTTTGTTGACCTAGCCTGTTGCCTTATTCCCCTGAACACGTGTAGCTGCGATGATTCAAGCAACCGATAGGAGACGTTGATCGTGCACGGTACGACTGTGTTATAGACTGGAACATTAGCTAGGCTTCTGTGTCAGCCGTACATAGGACAGACCCACGACATCTGGCGCCCAATGTAATGAATTTGGCAGCGTGACTAGTTTTGTGAACGTGAACAACTACGACGCTCTTCCAAACGTAGGACAACAGGCATGTCGGAATCCCAAGGTTTGTCAATATTGTCTGATGTCGCGTCGCAGAGTGGTGATCCTTTGGCTAACGCGGGGGCCGTGTTAGGACTTTCTGACAGCATAGATTTTGGTAAATTCACGCGGGACGATCAAGAGGGTGCAGAGACCGCGTTAGCCGAAATTAGGCCTACGACGAAGAGTGCCACACAAGGCACTGTGTCACCTCACGACGCGAACAGAGAGGAGCCGCCACAAGTTGCACCGACACATGCCGCAACTGTAGACAAGTCTGTGGGCAACAGTTTGCCCTCGAGCGAGGTACTCTTACAGAATGCGCTGTCAGTTATGTGAAGCCTGGTGAGCGCCCTGCAGGACACTGCACAGGCCCCCATTCAGACTGTGCGACCACGTGTCAAGGTAGACATGCCTACCTACACGGGTTACCAAGACTGCAAAAGCACCAACAAGTATCTCGACCAGTTGCTCCATTATCAGCAGGCGACGGGGCTTTCTGACGCCGAATTTCTCGAGTGCGTGGTACTGGTGTCGCTCACAAAGCAAGTGGCTCGATGGTTCCAACTGACCGGATATCGCACCCACACGGTAGAAGAGTTCTGCGACAGCTTCTGAAGCGAATGCCTACCAGCTAATTATGAGTGGCGTTTGCGGAGAGAATTGGAGCTATGCACCCAGCATCCTGACGAATCCTTGCTGGAGTATGTATGGGCGATGGAAGAACTGTATCGTCCCTCACGCCACCAACCCTCACGCTGACCCTCACGCCACCAACGCAGAAAAAGCCTAGCGCGTTACGCAGCAAGTGACACCGACTTTTGCCATGCGCTTCAGCGGATGCAAGTTCGCAGACCTAGAAGAGCTCGCCACCGAGGCGAAGCGCATACAATGGGACATCTTTGCTGTGCGAGTGTATCGCCCGCCTCTGCTCGCAGTGCAGTCAATCGAGCCTTGCCGTGAGTGGGATAGTGGAACAGTAGCTTCAGAAGCGTTTAGGGGTAGTAACACGTCAGCATCGTTTGCTGATGAGCACGTACCACGCGATTGGGAACTGTCAGACCCCGCTTTAAACCACTACGCTTACGCACTCCGTATGGCCCATACCGCTCCAGCGCGTGACATTCTATTGCGGGAGTGTGTGGTCAACACGAGGCCTAACGAGTGGTGACACCCAGAGCAAGCACCACCTGATCGAGGTGACTTACGATTGAGCCAGCGTGGTTTCCACGGTCCTTGCTATCGGTGCGGTGCGTCGGGGCACATCACCTGTGAATGCGACTGCACACCAGGTCAAAAGCAAACGCGGCATTTGGAAAACGGACGGTGCGGCCACTGAACCACATCGCACACCGCGCTGTAATCAGTAATTCCACCGCTGCGTTCAGATCACTGGCACCCTCAGTGTGTCGCGCAGGTGATGCGTAGACACGCCCGCATCGCTAATCGAGTCAACGATAGCTCGAAAGAAGTTCATAGCACTTTTGGATACTGCGACAAGCACTTCTTTATTCAGTGACGTTGTGTTGCACCATCTCTGTGAGACAAAGCAACACCATCTTCCGCCTTGCTACGGGCACAAGCACAATCAAGCGGTGCGGCTAGGCTAGTGATCCGCTAGGACAGACACATGAGGCGAAAACATTTCGTGCATCTTCCTGGGCTGTCAATGTCCCTAATCTTGGGTTGAGACTTTCTCGCCAAGTCGGGTATTGTCATTTCATTGCAAATGGCGGTTACCAAGAGCGCTACGCAGAGACTAAAGCCATGCCGAGGGCCACTTCAGCAGAAGCGGTTCACTTCATCATTGAAAACGTGGTCCTTCGCCACGGTGCTCCAACAGTTTCCATCACGGATAGAGCAACTGCGTTCATGGCAGAACTTTTGGAATCGGTTGTAAGGCTCAGCGGTACAGCTCACCAGAGAAAAACGTATTACCATCCCGAAACGAACGGACTAATGGAGTGTTTTAATAAGACCCTCGCCGACATGCTCTGTATGTATGTCGACACATAACACAAGAACTAGGATGAAATCTTGCCTTTAAGACCTTAGCCTATAATACCGCCCGGCAGGGAGCTACTAAAATGACAGCGTTTAGTTTAATACATGGTCACTACAACGTTGGACGCTATGCTGCCGCACAAGTTGTAACGACGCTCATGCTGACACCGAAGAATTTGGTCAGCGTGCCGAACAAGCCCGACAGCTAGTTTGGGTACGTATTTGTCACCAGCAACACAAAGATGTAAAACGGTACGACGTACAACATAAATTAGTAACCTACACACCAAGCAACAAGGTATGGGTCTAAACCCCAATACGTCAACGCGGATTTTCAGGGAATCTATTACGATACTTCGGCCCATATCGAGTCCCCCGATGCTTGAATGACGTCAAACGAAGTTATTCCCAATGGCGATAACTGTTCCAGTCGCCGAAACCGCTCACCCAAAATCGTGCATGTCACTCGAATGAAGCCCTGCTTTTCCAGCTAACTCTCGCTTGTCCTGTGGGTGGCAGTGCATATGTGTGTTTCTATAAGTAGAGCGCCTTGGCGGTGCATGGGGAGGGTGCTATTTTCAGAGGGAGGCTAATGTCATGTGGTCCTGCAAGAAAGACGAAAGCAGCGCTGCATACGCGCATTTGCACGCTTTTGTGCAGAACGCAACAACGAGGAAGACGAGAAACTGTCTGGCGCACGGTAAATAAAAAGACCGACCTGCAGCTGCTTTGTCAGCTTTTTCAAATGCGACCTCTGTCTTCATGTCGCGACAATATTAAAAAGAGAAGAGGCCCAAAAACAGATCTCTGAGGAACTCCGGAAATTACTCGCAGAAAATCAGAGGTGCTATTGTTAATAAAGACAAATTGTGAGCGGTTATTAAAGGGCCCGCAAACCACCTCCGTTATATTTTTGAAACATTTCAAGTAGACGCACGCACCATATGCACATTGCCATCGCGGTCAACGATTCTACATATGGCAGCGCTACGAGCTGCCTGTGCGTCACAAATCCCAAAAAACGATCCCTCCTTTCCGGGCCTTTCGGGCCTCTGCGTGATACGCCGTTCCATATCTCTGACGCGCCAAGCCAAATATGCGCTGATTAATCGAGCAAGAGCCTACGTCTTCCAGTCAGTCTGCAAGCAGCTGTCCGCGCTTCTTGTTGTTTGTCGTGTTGCCCGTGTGCGTGTAACACGTATGGGGCACGGCGTGTTCCCATACGGGTCT